TACTTGGCAAATTATTGAGTACGGAGTGTTAGAAAGAGTTAAGTATAAAGGACAACTCCAAGATTTGTAACTATATAAAATAACTCAATGATAGTATCATTAAAACCAAGGTATGCATAGCAGGAAGTGGAACTACCTTCAGGAGAGTGAAGAGTTAATTAATTTGTTGGAAGAGCCTGCCAGACAACGATCCGTAGCTGTTCAGTAAGAAATTGAAAATGTATGACTGAAGAACGGGAGGAAGATGAGTAATAAAGATGTGAAAGTATAAGAGAAAAAATACTTTTGAGAGAATGAGAATGCCCAGAAAAATTTAGTAATTGTTAAGAATGGTTAGATGGAATCTTAAGACCATTAGTGTTTGAAATATGGAAGACAAATTCAGCAAAGGAAACAAACAGTCCCAGTATAGAAGGACTAGGAGGGAAAAAATGCATAAATAAGAAAGAGAGTTTTAATATGATCATAAGGGTTGTCAGGGTCAAATGTCATAAATGAATGAGAAAAGATAAATATTTTAAAAGCAGACAACTAATGAAAATTTCTTCAGCACTTCAGGAGAATAGAAGATGGAAGACAGGTAACATTGGTTTAAAGTATTTGGCCAAATATAGCGAATTAAGTAATTTTAAAATATTAAAGCAAGAATGTCAGATAAATGGATATACGACATTAAAAAAATCACAGAATTGATAACACAAATAACTTGAAGACCCCAAGAATATGAGCAAAAAATGAGATCAGATACTATACAAAGTTTAAAAAGGAAGGAAAAATATGCAACCTGAGCAGTAATCAAAGAAATACCGATTATAAAGAAGTGAGGTACAAAATTTATGTTATATATATATATATATATTTACCTTTTAAATATGTATTTATATGTATAGATAATACTGTCCCCATAACCTTTTCTGGCATTGTCAAATGAATTCAGTACCACCATGGATTATTGCTGCCATTGTCAATTGGTACAAATCTTTTAGGCATCCATGTGATAATTTCTATGAAAACTATAAAATATTCATATCATTTGACCCTCTAGCTCAATTTCTTGAAATGTACCATAAGAGAATTATGCAAAATGTGCCCAAAATATTCATTAAAGTTATTCTTCTGAGAAGAATTTTTAATACTGAAAAATTGGAAGCTAAATGTTCAATGATAAAAAAATGTTCTTTTAAATAATGTCTTATCTGACAGGTGACATGCCAGAAAATCATTAAAAATTATGCTCATAAAAATAGCAATAAGGAAATGCATTGCTATGGTATTAAATAGAAAAGTGTACAAAATCGTATAAATGATGATTATAACCATGTAAAATATACTGCTGTGGTAATATATTCTACTCAATGTGTCAGCAATTTTTTTTTTAATGAAAAGGGCCAGATAGTAAATATTTTAGGTTTCTGTGGACCATACAGTCTCTGTGGAAACTACTTAACTTTTCCACTGTGATGTGAAAGTAGCCATATATAATACATAAGCAAATGACTGTGTTGGTGTTCCAATGAAACTCTATTTACAAAAGCAGGTGGTAGACTATACTTTGTTCTCCCACTTCCATATTCCTGCAGAAGATTCTAAGGCACCAAATAATTATGTTAGTTTTCTAGAATTATGGATAATATTTTTATTTTTTTGTCTTCCTAAATATTTTATAAAAATAATTAAAAAAAAATCAAAAGTAGAGGGCAGGATCAAGATGGCAGAGTAGAAGGAGCCCAAGCTCACCTCCCCCTGACAAACACATCAAGATTACAATTACATAGAGAGCAACTCTCTCTGAGAATCACAATGAAAACTAGCATAACAGCCCTTCTACAACTAAGGTTATAAGAAAGAACCACATGGAGTCTGGTAGGAGGGGAAAAGAAGTGATCTAGTTGGGACCCACACCCCTGGTGTGTGACTCAGAAGAGGAGGGTGAAATCACAGGCTCAGGGATCTGCCCTAAGAAGTGAGGATGTTCAAGCTTCACACTGGGCACTCCAGTCCTGGATTCTGCTACAAGAAAGATGAGCCCCCCCTGGCTGGTTTGAAAACCAGTGGGGCTTAAGAAATTGAGATTCCGCTCATGACAAGTGCCCTCATTGACTTGCTTACTCCCAGGCCTAGCACAGAGGTAGCAGACTGAAAACTGCCTGGTGCTTTGTGGCCAGCCCACCAGGACAGTCCAAGCTTACCCACCATCCCACATCAGGTTCTGACTCTAGCCTTTCCAGCTCTACCACTGTACCTTGAGAGAAGGCAAAGTTCATACTGGGCTCCTGCTCCCGTTCTTAGGGCCACAGCCCCACTTCTGGCCAAGGCAAAGACAGATATCAAGCTGGGGAGAGGTCAGGCTCTTGTAGGACTTCTGTTCCAGCCACTCAGGTTCTAGCACTGCCCCCAGCCAACCTGACGACTGCCAGCATACTAGGGAGAAGCTGAGCTGGATCCAGACTGGTGGTCCAGCTCCTGGGGCCCTGGCCCTACCCCATGACAGGGCAGTGATCACCACTGAGCCTGAGAGAAGCTCCAGCTCTCATTAGCCTCCCACCCTAGCTCCTCTGGCTCTAGCCATATTCCCAACTAAGGTGATGGCCAGCAACACAAGCCAGGAGGAGGTACAGCCCATGCTCACCTCAGATACAGCTCTCCCACAAAAGCTACTGTGCAGACTATACAGGGATGTTTCCACACAAGGACATGCCTTCAAGACAGTGATTGGTAACTGTTTCACTTACTTTCATAGAGACAAACAGAGCAATTCAAACAAAATGAGGGGACAAAGGTGTTTGATCCAAATGAAAGAACAAGATAAAATCCCAGAAAAACTCAAATGAAACAGAGATAAGTAAATGATTTGATAAAGAGTTCAAAGAAATAGACATAAAATTGCTCACTGAACAAAGGAAAAGAATAAAGGAACACAGTAAGAACTTTAAGAACCAGAAAATATAAAAAAAAGAATCAATTAGAGCTGAAGAATACAATAATGAAATGAAATGAAATGAAAATATATTAGAAGGAATTAACAGCAGATTAGGTGATACAGAAGAATGCATAAGTGACCTTAAGACAAAATAGTGGAAATCACCCAATTAGAAGAGAAAATAGAAAAAAAAAATTATGTGGATAGTTTAAGGGACCTCTTGGACAACATCAAGCATACTAACATTCACATTATAAGGGTCCCAAGAAGGAATAGATAGAGAAAAAGGGGCAGAAAATATATTTGATGAAATTATGGCTGAGAACTTTCCAAATGTGAAGAAGGAAACAGATATCTAAGTCTAGGAAGCACGGAGAGTCTCAGATAAGATTAAACCAAAAAGACTCACACCAGGACATATCATAATTAAAATGGCAAAAAATAAAGAGAGAATTTTAAAGGTACCAGGAGGAAAGTGAAGACTCATATAAAAGGGAACCTCTATAAGACTATCTGTTGATATCTATCTGTTGATATTTCAGCAGAAACTTTGCAAGCCAGAATGGGGTGGTAAAATGTATTTAAAATGCTGGAAGGAAAAAAAAAAACTACAATCAAGAATACTCTACCCAGCAGGCTACCATTCAGAATTGATAGGGAGGTAAAGAGTTTCCCAGACAAGCAAAAATTAAGAGTTTATCAACATCAAATGGACCTTACAAGAAATGTCAAAGGATCTTCTTTAAGTGAGAAAAAAATTTACAACAAGAAATGAGAAAACATTTGAAGAAAAAATTCTCACTGGTAAAGGTAAATATATAGTAAAAGCAGTGGACCAACCATTTAAATAAGTTACTGCAAAGGTTAAAAGACAAAAATTATCAACTCAACTACAACTACAATAAACAGTTAAGGGATACATATAAAGACATAAACTATGACACCAAAGCATAAAATGTGGCAAGGGCATGGGGAGTTAAAAATGTAGAACTTTTTAGAATGTGTTTGAAGTTAAACAACTGTAAGTTGAAAACAAGTATCATTATAGATATAGACATACAAATGAACCTCATGGTAACCAAAAATCAAAAATTTAAAAACAGATACACATACACAAAAGGGAAAAGGACCACAGTACTAAAGAAAATCACCAAACGACAAGGGAAGAGAATAAAAGAAGAGGGAAAATAACATAGAAGATCTATAAACAACCAGAAAACAAGTAACAAAATGGCAACAAGTACATACCTATGAGTACACATTAAATGTAAGTGAAAACATGCTTGAAACAAAAGACATAGGATGGCTGAATATAGAAAAGCAAGACTCGTCTATATGCTGCCTATAAGAGATTCACTTTAGAGCTAAAAACACATACAGGCTGAAAGTAAAGGGATAGAAAAAAGACACTCCATGCAAATGGAAAGAAAAAAATGCAGTAGCAATACTCGTATCAGACAAAACAGACTTTAAAACAAAGTCTACAACAAAAGGCAAAGAAGGGCAATATATAATGATAAAGGGGTGATCCAAGAATAGGATATATTTATAAACATGTATGCACCGAATATAGGAGTACCTAAATACATAAAGCAAATATTAGCAAAAATAAATGGAGAAATTGATGGTAATAATAGTAAGGAACTTTAGCACCCCAATTATATCAATGGATAGATTATCCAGACAGGAAAATCAATAAGGAAAAGTAGTCTTAAATGACAAAAAAGACCAGATTACTTAATAGATATCTAGAGAAATGCCATCCAAAAACAGCAGAATACACATTCTTTCAAGTGCACGTGGAATGTTCTCCAGGATAGATTATATGCTAGGCCATTAAAAAAAAAAAACCTCTAAATAAACTTAAGAAGATTGAAATTATATCAAGCATCTTTTCTAACCACAATGGTATGAAACCAGAAATCAATTACCAGAAGAAAGATGGGAAAAACACAAAGACATGGAGACTAAACAATATGCTACTAAAAACCCAATGAGTCAATGAAGAAATTAAAGAGGAAATCAAAAAATATCTTGAGACAAATGAAAATGGAAATATAACTTTCTGAAGTCTATAAGACACATCAAAAGGAGTTCTAAGAGGGAAGTTTACAGCAATACAGGACTACCTCAGCAACAAGAAAAATCTCAAAAAACAAAACAAAACAAAACAAAACAAAACAAAAACCTAATTTTCCATCTAAAGGAATTAGAAAAAGAAGTACAAAGGCCAAAGTCAGCAGAATAAGGGAATATATTGTTTTAAAAAACAATATAAAAAGACCAATGAAACTTAGAGCTGTTTTTTGAAAACATAAAATTGATAAACCTTCAGATAGACTTACTAAGAAAAAAAGATTGACCAAATAAAATAAAAAATAAAAGAGGAAAAGTTACAACCAATATCACAGAAACACAAAGAATTATAAGAGAATACTACAGTTACATACTAACAAATTGGACGATCTAGAAGAAATGAATAAATTCCTAGAAACATACAATCTTCCAAGACTGAAGCAGAAAGAAATAGAATATCTGAGCAGATCAATTACTAGTAATGAAGTTGAATCAGTAATCGCTAAATTTCCAACACACAAAAGTCCAGGATCAGACAGCTTCAGAAGGAAATTCTACCAAATATTCAAAGAAAATTTAATACCTATCCTTCTTAAACTTTTTCAAAAACTTGAAGAGGAGGACACTTCCAAACTCATTCCAGCATTACCCTGATACAAAAACCAGACAAACACAATCCAAAAAAGAAATTACAGACCAATATCTCTGATGAACATAGATGTAAAATCCTCAACAAAATATTAGTAAATGGAATTCAACAATACATAAAAAGTATCATACATCATAGGCAAGTGGGATTTATTCCATGGATGCAAGGGTGTTTCAATATTCAGAAATCAATCAATGTGACACACTACATTTAAAAAATGAAGGATAAAAATCACATGATCATCTCAACAGAAGCATAAAAAGCATTTGACAAAATTCAACATCCATTTATGATAAAAATTCTCAACAAAGTTGGTATAGAGGGAATACATCTCAACATAATACAGGCAATTTATGACAGACTCACAGCTAACATCATACTCAGTTGTGAAAAGTTGAAAGCTTTTCTTCTAACATCAGGAATAAGATAAGGATGCCCACTCTCACCACTTCTGTATGACACAGTGTAGGATGGCCCAAATTCAGCAATCAGAAAAGAAAAAAAAATAAAACACATCCAAATTGAAAGGAAAGAAATAAAACTGTCAGTATTGCAGATGGCATAATAGTATATACAGAAAACCCTAAAGTCTCCACCAAAACCTTTTAGAAGTAATAAATGAATTCAGCAAAGTTGAAGAACACAAATTAATATATATAAATCTGTTGCATTTCTATGCACTAATAGAAAACTATAACAAAGAGAATTCACAAAGACAACCACATTTATAATTGCATTAAAAAGAAAAAAAATACCTAGAAATAAATTTAACCAAGGAGGTTAAGGACCTGTACTCTGAAAACTAGAAGACAACGATAATGGAATTGAAGATGATATAAATAAATGGAACACTATCCTGTGTTAATGGACTGGAAGCATTAATATTGTTAAATGTCCATACTACACAAAGCAATCTACATATTTATGCAACATCTGTCAAGACACCCATGACATTTTTCACAGAACTAGAACAAATAATCCTAAAATTCTTATGAAGCCACATAAGACCCTGAATAACCAAAGTAATCTTGAGAAAAAAAGAACAAAGCTGGAGGTATCATTCTCCCCAACTTCAGACTGTACTACAAAGTTACTATAATCTAAACAGCACGGTACTGGCACTAAAACAGAGACATAGATCAATGGAACAGAATTGAGAGCCCAGAAATAAACCCACATACATATGGTTAATTAATCTATGACAAAAAAGGCAAGAATATACAATAGGAAAAAGCAAGTCTCTTCAATAAATGGTGCTGGGAAAACTGGACAGCTATGTGTAAAAGAATGAAACTAAAACATTTTGTCATACCATAAACGAAAATAAAATCAAATGAAAAAAAATCAAATGTACGAAAGAAACAAATGTAAGACTTGAAATAATAAAATTCCTAGAAGAAAGCATATGCAGTATGTTCTTTGACATCATTCTTAATAATATTTGGGGGATATATCTCCCTAAGTAAGGGAAAGAAAAGCAAAAATAAACAAATGGAACCTAATTAAACTTAAAAATTTTTGCATGGCCAAGGAAATCATCAGCAAAACAAAAAGGCAACCTACTCAATGGGAGAGGATATTTGTAAACAACATGTCCAATAAGGAGTTAATATCCAAAATATACAAAGAAATCATACAACTCAGTATCACAAAAACAACCAGAATAAAAATGGGCAGAAGACCTGAATAGGCATTTTCCCACAGAAGACATACAGATAGCCAATAGGCATGTGAAAAGATGCTCAACATTGCTAATCATCAGGGAAACGCAAATCAAAAGCACAATGAGATATCACCTCACACCTGTCAGAATGGCTGTGATCAAAAAGACCACAAATAACAAGCGTTTACAAGGATATGGAGAAAAGGGAATGCTCATACACTTTTGGTAGGAGTGTAAACTGGTGCATTCACTTGGGAAAACAGTATGGAAGTTTCTCAAAAAACTAGAAATAGAATTACCATATGACCCAACAATTCTACTCCTGGGTATACATTAAAACAATAATAACAACAACAACACTAATTTGGAAAGATAATATAGGTACCCCAATGTTCATAGCAGCCTTATTTACAAAAGTCAACATAGGGAAGCAACCCAAGTGTCCATGAACAGATGAATAAATAAAGAAGATGTGATATATATATATATATATATATATATATATATATATATATATATATATAATGGAATGTTACTTAGACATAAAAAGGAATGAAATTTTGCTATTTGAGACAATACCTATGGACCTGGAGGATATTATGCTTAGTGAAATAAGTCAGACAGAGAAAGACAAATAGTGTATGATATCATTTATATGTGGAATCTAAAAAATAAAACAAAGGAACAAATATAACAAACCAGAAAGAGATTCCCAGTTACAGAGAATAATCTAGTCATTACCAAAGGGGAGTGGGGAGGGGAAGGGGCAAAACAGGTCAAGAGAATAAAGAGGAACAAACTATTATGAATAAAATAAACAAATTATAAGAATGTAATTTACAGCAAGGGAACATAGTTAAATAGATATTAATAACATTGCATGGAGTATAACATCTAAAAATATTGAATTGCTAAGTTGTATACTGAAAACTAACATAATTATTGTTAAGTCAATTATGATTTAATACAAAAATCAAAAAGCAAATATTTTCAAAAGTCTATGTGATGATCGGAAAATAGGGGAATAAAGTATCTGGGAAAATAATACATATTTTCAAGACATATATATATGCACACAGAGGCAATTATTATAAAGATTTAGCTCACTGTACAAATTCAATAGGAAGAGTAAAAATGGAAAAGTCTCATTTGTCATCCTGTCTGGCCCACGTACATTTTTTTGTTATAATCTCAATTATTATACCTTATTATTGTTATGAGATTTTAAAATTTAATGTACATTAGAGAACATCCTGTGTTAATATATTTGTTTCTACTCCATTATTTTTGTTAGTGACAGTCTTTTAATAGTATAAATAAAATATAATTCATTTAAACATTCTCCTACTATGGCTAATTAGGATAGATTCTAATGTTTTTGCTCTTGCAGGGAACCTAATCTACGCTTGAAAATAAGTATCTGGGCCTTTGTATGGGCATTTCTGTAAGACAAAGTTGCCAAAGTTATAATTTACTAGGCTACCAGGTATTGACATTTAAAATATTGGTAGATATTAGCATACACCCTTTAAAATAAGTATCCAAATTGACAGTTTCACAATGTTTGAGAGTGCCTATTTACAACGGGTTTGTGTAACTGCGTGTGCATGTGTATGTATTGCATTTGCTTGTTTTAAGGTAGGAGAGATTTAAGCATGTATAAAAGCTGATAAAGAAGGGGTGAATTGAGGGTATGAGAAAGTAGTGATTATTGACGGAGAGGGAACCAAAAGTTCAGAGGGGATAAACTCAAGTGAAAAGAAAACAACAACAACAACAAAAAAACAGCAAACATAGAGACAGGAGGAAAATAAAGTGGGTTAAAAGATGGAGGAAAACAATATTGAGTAAGTTTCCTATCCCTATTTTCTTTTAGAAAAAAAATAACCTCTAGGATCAAGGGTATGGAACTTGAGGGGAAGGTGAAGTTTGACACAGCTTCCTTGGGCAATGGAAGCAGGACATAAAATAATCACTCAGCTACACTGATAATTCAGCAAATCCACTCTGAGAGTTAGAACTGATGTGTGAAGAGAGAAAAATTAGGAGTGATTTAGCCACATAAACAGGGTAAGAACAAAAGTGAAGTTTAAATAAAGGGGTAGATAACCTAGATGGAAAATTGAGGGCAGAGAATCTGCTCTAATTTCTGACCGCATTCCTGACTGGGATTAATATTACAAAGTAGCTGATGGGACAGTAAAGTTAAATACAATTAATCTTGGCTTGTTTTCTAATTTTGTTTGGATAACGTATTGAAAATAACAAATCTGTGAAGGGGTGCCTTAAAAAGTAAGATTGTAAATTGACGCTAAAGTGTTTCCAATTTATACTGGAGGCAACCTATACGCTTCTACAGCATGCTTCTGCAGGCCACTTCTAAAGTAGTGTCGGTGATTAAGAAAAATAATTTACATATTCAAGACATATTATGGATGAGAAATCAGCAGGAATGAGCTACCAGCTAGATTCTCGTGTGCGTGGGAAGAGGAAAATGCAGATAGTAACCAATCGTACCGTTAAAAGTAATGAGGATGTTTTAAGGAAGGAGCTGCTTTGTGGGGAAGATCTAATTTTGAATCTCAGAATAACACATTTTGTAGATGGAAAATAAATTATTATTCCAATTTCACAGATTGTGATTTGTCTACGTTCACTCAGTTAGTAATAAAACTAGTCTTAGAACCAATAGATGAATTTCAATCCAGTACTTTTTCTACAAAGATTTTCATTCTCATTTGCATCAAGACTCTTTATTTCCTTAAGATATTTCTATTCAGTTTCCACAGATAATTTCAGAGACGGGTTTTCCCACATTAGATATAAACTGAAGTAGCTTTAAAGAAACAAAGGACTTTAAGCCTTCTTGTATACCACTTCTTGGCAGTCTTGGGTCATTAATCCATTCTTAATTTTCTAGATCAGAAACAGATTACAGTATTTTATAGAGTATTCTACCATTCAAGGCACTTTACTTAGTAACTTATTTTTGTCTTTCTGCACATAAAGCAGTTAATGAGTATTGACAGCCTTTATTGTGATTGCTTCCAAAGCTGGAGGCTACTCATTTCACCAAAGGGTTTCTTTATAAATATGACATTAATAAGGGTTGTTTTAATTATGTTGTAGATAATTTTTGGAAGTCAATTTGCTGAAACTTGGCAAGAGAAAAGTTTAAAAAAAAAAGTCCAATCAGAATATGTGTCATGAATTCTTGGGTACAAAATCAGAATAATTGTGGGGAATAATTTCAGAAATTTACATGTAACTATTTGTGTGTGTGTTTGTGTACTATCAGTTCATTTAGTGGTTTAAATCCTGGCCATGCCACTTTTTGGTGGGTTATTGGTAGCAGGTTATTCATTCTCTCTTAATTCAGTTTTTTTATCATTAAAGTGAGGCTAATAATGTCTATTTTATAAAGTCTACTCTGTGAATTAAATATGTAGAAAGTTTGTAAACCTGTATGGTAAGTATTCTATAAGTGTTAGATGTTATTGTTTTGTTGTTATTGTGTTATTTTATAATCCGATTTTTAACAATCTGGTCTGTTCTTCATTTCTAGCCAACGATCTTGAAATGAAGGATTCGGATTACCTGATCTTGAATTCTGACTCCTCATTGTATTGGTTGGTTGACCTTAAAAATAATGATATTTAACCTCTCAACTTTATTTTCCTTGCCCAAATACATAAGTATGGTAATAGAACCTACCTCATTGAAAACAAAGGTTACTTACCTATGTTATATTTCTTATCATTCCCTAAATGTGATATTGTACAGTCTTCATTTTACAAATATGGAAACCAAGACTTACAGTTAAGTACCTAGCCCATGACTCTGCACTAAGTATTTGGGAGCACTAGGACCTAAATCAAATGAATATTCTTTTTTTTTAATTGTAGTATAGTCGGTTACAATGTGTCAGTTTCTGGTGTACAGCACAATGTCCCAGCCATGCATATGCATATTTGTTTTCATATTCTTTTTCATTAAAGGTTATTATAAGATATTGAATATATTTAACTGTGCCATACAGAATAAATTTTTTAAAATCTATTTTTATATATAGTGGCTGACATTAAGTCAATATTCTTAACACCATTTTCCTCCATTAACATCATCAAAATCACATCCTTGACTTCTATTCCCTCTGCCACTTTTGTTACCTTATTTGAGGCCTTCATAATTTACTAGATTACTGCAAAAGCATGATAACACCTGTCACTCCATCTCAATGCATTTTCTTAACGTTTCTCAATAATTAATTTTATAAAACTCAATCCTAGTCATGTCATATTTGTGTAGAAACTTCATTATTGAATGCCTGTCTGTTGTCTCAAAGCAACATTTA